CAGGTTGGTAGATCCTTCTTGGCTCAGGGTTGTTTGTCCGGTTCTTTGGTCTCTGGTTTCAATTTTCTGTAGTATCGTCGAAGATCTTTACTACTCCTAGCTCAGGTCTTGCCAAACAGGTTTCAAATATTTCAGTTCCTTGGATTTAGATTGCCTTAAAGCTTCCATAATAAGATAGTAGTACCAAGGTTACAGGTGATATACTCAACTAATAGTCGAATAAATGTTACCAGAACACAGACCTATTTTTTCAAAAAACGTCTCTGGTGGAAATTGAACTCTAGACCTGCCGCTTGGGGGGTGACAACTTAATCACTACTCTATGTCATCACAATTTCTTTAATACTTGTTTCTTGATATATCACATTAAAAGCTTTATCAATAGTAACTAAAAAAACTTGAATAGTTTTAAATATAAAATTTTAAGTTTTTAATTTAAATTGAGGGTGTGGTGACTTAGTGAAGTGGTGAAGTTGTCACACTTCCAAGCAGTTGAGTACAGGTTCAATTTCTATTGTAGACAAAAGTTGAATTTCGAAAACAGATTCGGTAACTATTGTCGTAGCTAGAAAAACTCGAAACCCTGTAACAGAACTGGAAGATCTTGGAATATTTGTGTGATACAGTCAGACCTCTCTAAATGCAACCTCTCTAAATACATATATATGAAAAACCTTCCTAAATGCATGTCTTTTCTTGGCCTAACTAATATAACACTTATAGATTTTTACCTCCCTAAATGCATAACCTCTCTAAATGCATATTTTTAAAATTTTTTATTATGGTCCTGATATTATGTATTTAGAGAAGTTTGACTGTATATGAATTATACGAATAAGTCTTCAGATCGCAGATAGCCACAGGGCTGATATGGTGATAGAGTACTTGCTTAGCAAATTCTGAATAAAAAGGTAGTACAGATCTTTGATATACTATATAAAGAGTTGTCATCGGAAGAATTAGCAAAACTGAACAGAACCAAAGTGTTTGGCAAGGTACTCTACAAACCAGGTCACTGAAGGAATAATCGGAGAAAAAGAACCTAATCGTGGAGACTAGGAGCAGATCACAACCTTTTTAGACTATCTGAATTGGTAGTTTGGGATAGTCAGAAATATCGTAGATAGTCTGTAATATATATACAGGGTTTGGGTGAACTCTATAAGGGCAGAAGTATGTTGTATAATGGCGATCAGGCTATAGTATCCAATATAGAAACTGGGCACAAGTGCAGACCTTGGCTTGTGTATATCAACTAAAGACTAGGTTAGCTAGATTGTAGGTATAGAAAGCTCTAGCAGGTTTATCTTAAAGATAAAAGGCTCTTAGAGATAAAAAGCCTGTCTTAAAGTTCTAAATTAATATTTGAAACTAAGGAGGTCACATTGAATCCTCACTCGGTTAATAGTATAATCATATAAGTGCAGAGGGTTTAAATAGATAACTTCTAGTCATGTTATAGATATGACATCTAGTGTAGAACTTAGTAATAAGCGGACTACTTAAAATAGGCAACCAAAAGTTGTATGTGTAGCTAGTTGCACTCTTCAAATATATATATAGTATGAAATTCATACTGTAAAAATTATAACTATAACCGAATAAAGATATGCAACCAAGAGGTTACCTTAACATCAAAAAAAAAAAGTTTTTAATTTAATTCGTGATCCGCCTCCAAACCAGTGAAAATCATTAATATTATTTGGGGTAAAATTTTGTAAATCATTTAAGAAAAATCTAGTAGTTGGTAGTTTTTGGATATAAGATAACGCTACCAACGAAAAACTTGTTCATGCCAAATATATAACAGAATGTATATGCAAACTTCAAGAATATGCTGTTTTGATTTTTTTCGCTTAATTAATAATAATAAAAAAAGTTATTTGCTGACAACGCCAGATTCTGAGATAAAAACTGATCTGTGATTTCATTATTTCATGCATTTTAATATAATATTGGAACTAGAGACATTATGATCTACATTTTTTGATCTTATTTTCTAAATAGAAAACATTTTTTTAAAAAAAAATAAAATCAAAAGACGGGTTCATAATGTCTCTAAAGCACATGAATTATTATTTAATACGCAATACTATGTAAAACTTTATTACTAACACTCGTATTACAATTTATATTTTAGAATTGTCAAATTATACCCATCTGAGCTGCATATTCACGATATTGACGAGTATAATAGCCTATCCAGCTTTGAATAGTAGATACTTTTGGAATAGCTTCGGCCTCAATTTCACCCTCAAGTACCCTTTGCTGAAGAGCTTCATACATATCTTGCGCGGTATAGTGATCACTTTTGTCTGCTTCACTAGCTAGAAAATATCCTTCCAATATTTTTTTTACTTTTTTGCAATTCTTTTTCCAATTCCCTTTTCTCTATATTTTTGCTTCTTTTTTAATGCCCATCCTGATGGTAATGAAAAATTTATAGTATTCGTACTAGATATTATCTATGTAAGTATATGTTATTAAAGTGTTGAATTGGACATATTTGCTATACCTGTCATTACTCATTGTTTTTTTCTACCAAAACACCAGGGTTTATATCACAACCTATATTGTAAATAATTATATTATAAATGCACAATTAGCAATAAAACTGTTGTACTAGTTGCTTACCTAGTTTAGCATTTTTGATATCATTTTCTAGCTGGATCTTCAAATTTAATACTAGTATACTTCTGTTTTCTTTTTCGTTTACCTCTATTCCTCTCAAGCTTAGTTCTTTTATCAAATTTCGTTTATTGAGACATGTCGGATTAAGGTCTAATATTTCAAAATCGATTATTATTAGAATAAATAAAATATTTGGTGCATTTTAATAAATAAAAACTTACGTGAAGTATTTGGAATAGATATTTCCCAGTCAGAACAAGGTGTAGTATGAGTAGAAATCTCTGGATTGGGTTTATGAATGTCCTTTTTGCATAATTTCTCTAAGTCTGCAGGTGAAAATATCTTCCAATTTCTGATATTAGAAATAGCATGCATCAAAATACATCCAGCAAACTTTCCTGTAATAGGCCATTGCCACTCGAACCAATTCGAATTACCAGGCAAAGAATTTTTCCCATTACTTGCTATCATTGTATTTAAACATTGATACATAAACAGTAGATATTTTTAAAAATAGAAATGATTTTAATTTTATTTATTACTTGTAAAAAGTTACATCCTTAAAGAATACTCTAAATCATATAAATACATTATTGTAGATTTTATATTTAGAACTAACCTCTATTTCGATTCGGTTTTAAATTTGTTACAGAAGTACCACAAATATTTTGAATAGCATTTTCTATGTCCTGCCCTTCAGAAATATCAAATCCCAAACGTACATAGCGATTGATAGCATGAGATATCTGAATAAATCGGGTTTGTTAGAAAAGTACTAATTTAATGCAAAAGATTATTTTTATTACCTGAGCATGGTGTGAATCAATCATAGTTTTAGCCTCTCCAGCCTCCAAAAATACCTATTTTTCTATTTGAATTCTATACCATTCTGGCCAATAGCCCATAATTATCATAAGATCTGCATTGTGATAATGACTACTATTATCTGATATAATAATTACTGACTTTACTTTGTTTTTTAACACCTCTATTACTGCATGAAGAGATGAAGCAGTAAACCACGAATCCTGTCGCATATCTGCGGACCAGTGATCAAATGCCTGAACTTTTAACTTTGTTGAACTACTATAGATTGTATATACTAACACTGAATAGAGTGTCTACACATTTTTTCTAAACCAATCTTGCTTTGTTTCTCGAGCTGATTTGGGTAATATTTTCATCTTGTAATCTACGAGAATTAGAGCTTTATTCTCATCCAAATCTAGCAAGTTTACATTAAATTGTCTATTCAGATAGACTTTGCATGTCTGGTGAGCCATGTAATAACATAGTTGATCTTGCAATTTGGCTAATTACTCATGCACATCATCTTCAGAATTATCTTTTAATTCAGCAAAAAATTCAAATATGGTATTACATTCATTACAGATGCAGAAATGAGATTGATAACATTCTCCAAAGGCATATAATAAGCAATGATTAATGCAGGCATTGTGTGATGTTGTTCCTTTAGCTGTGATATGAAAATGTGATTCATATTCACATTTTAAAAATCAGGCTAATTTTTTACAATTTTCTAAGAGCCGCGTCTAATAAGTTGATTTATAATGGTAGATAATTAATAATAGTAATACAGTATATTAGTAAGTTATTTATTTAATTTCACAAATTGAGTCTGAAGCTAGATAATGATACCTGTAACACATACTATTACTACTCAAAACAAATTCAAATCCTTAGAGCTTTAATAAAAGGGATGTATTTACATATTTAATTCTGGTTACTTTAGTTTTTTTTTTTAATTTCGAATATAAATAAATTTCAGATAATTGAAATAATAATACGAATTTAAGATATTTCTCTTGTATAATTTCGATTATCTGGAATTTTCATAATATAGACTTAGAAATTACAAGCATATAGTCTAGAATGAAAAATAAGTTTGGTTTTTCAAAGCTATTCTTTATTATCACCACAATTGATAATATTAATTTACATACCTGAATACTGTATAATGGCATTTTATATTACCCTGAATATAATCACTGATTTCATCAAAAGTATCGTATCCATATTTTGAACAGGTTTGACAAAGTCCACCCAGATTTTCACGGTATATATATTGATTTCCTTGTAAATATACATAAAAACTTGAATGTTTCATACCATCCGGATATTCTTTGTAAAACCATTCCCAAAGCACATTCTTGGAATCTTTTAGGTAATAAACAGGCTCATTAGTTGCTGAATCAGTTTTATATGAGCTCATTATTACATTCACTTTGTTTGTCAAAAATTGTTGAATTTGTTCCTGTTTTTTAGCTGACATTTTTTCATACAGATTACCAATAGAAATATATAGATTATATGACTTTGAGGATAT